CATCCGGATCTGTTCTTTCGGAGCTGCGCAGCACAGAAGCGTCGAGATCTGCACCAGCCGACCGAGCCGCCGACATCTGCAGGACAAGTTGGATGGGATGTTGACCGAGCTCCGAGACCTGCAGCTGGAGCTGAAGCAACAACGCATGCTGAAGGAGTGCGGCGGGAACCGGCGCTCCGGTCCGGTCCGGTCCTCACCCACTCGTGGTGCGGTTTGGGGGGGGTTTGGGGCGCCCAAAGAAAACCGAAGGAGTGGTGAAGGAGCGGTGGATCAGCTGGATGCTGACATGGCGCCGCTGATGTGGGGGAGTGCCAGGTGAAGGTCAGAAAAGCAGGTGGTTGCTGTACAATTTGGCCTGGAGCTGCGCAAAAACGGACCCGCCCCAAAATCACCCTGGGGCCTGCCGGATGTGAAAGCTGTCAGAATGCCCCAAAAGAACACATCAAGGTAACACAGATCTACTTTGGTGGCGTCCCATCTTTACAGGCAACTGTCGGTCAACAAGAACGTCACTATTTCAGAGCAAGGGCCTAGCTGCTAACCATCATCATCATCATCATCATCATCATCATCATCATCATCATCATTCACTGTTGCAACATGAGTCTACTCGGGGACTGGGTCATTTTCGGCGACACGCACCAGCTCGGTCGGAGCGGCGGCAACGCCGCTCAAAAAACACCTTTGGGTCCCTGTCGGATGGCTGCAAATCACCTAGACCGACTGTTTTCAGTGAGTAACATCACAGAAAATAGCCTTTAATATTTTGTATAATCAAATGATGTGTTTGTTGTTCTACGACTACGGCCATGCTTTTGTCATGTCTTTTTAAATGAAAGTTCAGTTTGCCAGTCACACTCTCCGAACACTTTAGACAGACGCCCCTGAATTGCAACTCCACTTTTCAGGAGCTTCAAGCAGAGCAGGGCACCACGCTATGAGTGGCAAGGCCTGGCGGAATGTGTCTCCAGGTTGCTGCCAGCGAATCCCAGAGAATGTCCAACGGATGATTTTTCATGGGAACCATTGAGAATCTGCAAGATGTTTCTCTTGTGTCAGTTTCCACTTCTTCGCTGAGTTGGCAAGGATGTTCGCCCATCATATCCGGATCCCACACAGAACCTATGAAGATTTGCCGCTTTGGTGGTCCTGGAGGGTCATCTATGTTCATCGTCATGCTATGTTTGGGACATGTTTCATCGTCATTCCCTCCCCGCCACCGCCACCAGCCTACGACTGAAGCAACTGGAACAGCTACAAACCAGCTGCAGGAGGATTTTGACACATGATAGGAGAATGGAAGATCCCTAGTGTTTGCACCCATGTCCTCAAGAAGGTATATGCCAAAGACGGTACCAAAGATCCGCGTTCTGCTTCAATACTGACATGGACTAGCAGGAAACAGCACTCATTTTTTTCCACCAAGTGCTGAGACAATAGATCTGTTTACGCGGTACATCCGGTCTCTGCGGTATATCCGGTCTCCGATATACGGTACAAACCCAGGCGACGCGTTTTCGGCGCACAGAGAAGCACACGAGGCACAGAACACACGCTTTCAGTGCACACCGGGAGTGGCGGTGTGAAACGACGTGTTGGAGCCGATGCCTTTTTGTCCGCGAAACTACAAGTATATACAAGAATGTGTTGGTTCTGTGCTATTACCTTTAACAGTCAGTAAACAATTATAATCCTTTTTAACCATGCAAGGCCTTTACTAACCATCATCATCTACTGTTATATACAGGTAATGGGATAGACCCAATGAATGTGTGCATTCAGAAACCTGCACGAAACGCAGGTGGCACAGGTGTAGACTCCCGCCCGCTATTCCGAAACCGCAAGGGCATGGTGTTGGACGCCAAGAACGCTGAACGCCAAGACCGCTGATGCCGTGCAGAAGACGCGGGGACGCGATCACGCCATCCATGTCTACTTGACAAGACGTCGTGGACAGCATGGCGGGCCGGTCACGGGAGGATTCAGCTAACCTCTTTTTCGATTTTTTTTTGGACGGGGGGTTGAGATTCACACATCGTGTTGTTGGAAGAAGGCTTGGATGAAATCATATAACAGACAGATCACCCAGAATCAGAGCGAGATCAGAGCGAAAACAGACGAGTGATCCACAAAACACCAGGACCGTTGACTAAACGAGTTGGTTCGGTCAAGCCTACCTGGTGGTTGGAAGTTGGAAGCCTATGGTTGCTGTACATTTCTTGAAATCATCATCGGCCTGGCCGTGGGGATGGCACGGCTCCGATTCTCTACTCGGATGACCAGTTTCAATCGGAATACCCAACAGCTGGCACCATCCACTTCGATTGATTCCAGCGAGTGTGCCACGTTTGCCTAACCCACGTACCCTTCGAAGTGCACGGTGTTCCCCACGCTACAGCAGGTCCCTATAGATCTTAGGTGAGGTCGTTTTCCTCTGTGTTCAATCCGAACGAGACCGGGTGTAGATAGGACGGCTCCAAAGCAGAGCGAACGGAAGAAATCGCCTTCAGAAAAGGTGCAAAATGACAGGGATGAGGTGTCAGACACGATATCAAACTTGCCACATGAATCATCCGTCACCTTCGACCGGACAGCGTCACGGTGAAACACCATGGTAGAATACGGTGGAACGCAGTGGAACGGTGGTTTACATCTTTCGGCAAGTGGACCGGGTGCGCAGGAGCGTTCTTGTCCGACTTGGGGACTGCCAGATGTAGGGGGCTTGCGACAAGAGGGGGCGTGTAGAGGACTTTCCCTGGTTCACTGTACCACTGGTGGGACCATTTATATGATATTAGATATTTTAGTATAGAATATCAACATATTATTTATTAACTTCTTCTTTCTTTTCTTAAAGTCGTCTCAGGGGCAAGATGGTGACCTCATGTGGAATGGATCCTGTGCCTGTCAAGGGCATCCAAATGGGGCACAGCTTGGGTTCGGCGCGGATACGGTGTTGCTCCGGCTCCATCGGGTTGGGTCACTGTCACTTGACTCGCCAAGCGTACATGGCTATAGGCAAGGCTCTCACATTCTTTGGGGGAACGGTCGTTTTTCACACACACATATATCATATATATATATGGCTCTTGGACTTTTGGTGGGAAGCACGCAACCTTCACCAACTCCGCATGTCGACACACGGGGTTTGGTCTGGAAATCTCACGACCTCATGGTGTTTGCCAGAGGCTGAGTGGCCATATGAATTCCTCAGATTCTCCAGGGTCGACGAGTCGAGTCGCAGAATTTGCTTGTACTTCAGCATTCGGACCGACGTCAAGAGATGGTTTTCTCGGGTGTCCAGCAACCACCGGACTTGGAAGGTCCTGGAAGTCATCTCTTTAGTTCAAAGATGTTCAAAGTTAATGTGGACTTGGGGTGACAAAGCTCATGTCATGAAATGGCTCATGGGTCGGAGGGAACGTGTGACCAACCAATCGGCGGGGATGGTTCTGTTCCCCCCCCCTTGCTCATCATTCGCAAGCAAGGAAATGCCCAGTGAGATGGTCACTCATTCCTTTTTCTTCAGATCTTTTTTGCCAGACACTGGAAAAAAGGATGAACATGGTACGGAAAATGATTTGACCAAGTAGCCGCCTGTCAAGGAAGGGATCCAAGGAACCGCCCTTGGGATTCTGGCCGCCCTGACATATCCGTGTGTTTTTTTCATTCACTGGTTGGGATAACCTGGACAATCCACATGACGGTGGGTGTACTTCTGTCACCAAGCGGATTCAAAGTGATCCACAGAAAAGGGACACAACACGGTCACCGCATGTCACCGCATATTCACAGGTTTGGCCTTCCCACCACTTTTTGCCGAATCATGGCACTCTCACCCAAGGCAACCTCCCTGAATGAACATCCGCTTTGTCCTGGCCAAAGTCTTCTTCTGTGAAACGCCATGCATTTTTGAGCATTTTTTGAGAGGCTACAGGCATCAGTCACTTCCAAGGTGGAGCCCCCACCCAAAGCCTTGGTTTTGAATCTTTTGAGTTCTCATCTAGCCTTTCATCTGGGGCACAGCGGCTCACCGGGACTCCGGACTGTTCCGTGGAGCTGGATCCACCGGAAGCTTTGCTTCCCATCCCGCGTGGACAGACCGGACCGCTCAGGTCCTGGTTGGGGAGCCCAGCGGGTTTGGAAGGAATTCAGAGACTTTCTTGAGAGAGAGAGAGAGAGTTACACCAGGAGTCACAGAGCTCGGGGTGGTGTGGCTCGTCCCATCCAGTGAGTGGATGTGACAGGGGCACCCCGGCTTCCTCTATGGATAGCACCCCTTTGTGACTGATGGCAGTTTTCTTTATTTGTTTGGAAAGTGTTTTACAATGTTTTACATGGTGCGCTCCCCGAAATCATCGCGTTCATGAGTTCCCGTTGCACATGCTGCAAGCTTCGCCTCCCACGTGCAACCTTGCGATCCCCACCAGCATCCAAAGGTCACATAGTGAAACCGCAACTCCTTTGCCCTTTGCTATTGGGGTTTCTCTCTAGCTTTCGTGCTGTGTGCTCGTTTCACGTTACTTTTTTTTTGCGTGGTGATACAGCGGAACTTGAATTTCTTTTTTTTTGGCGGTGCTTCCAAATCTTCCAATCGTTCACTTGTCCCTGCATCCTCTCAGTGGTCCTTTGTGCCCTAGGGTGAAGCCGCTGTGAGGTTTCACTTATCCTGCTGAATCTCGCCAACGAAGTTGCTAGCCATGACCTTGGAACGAAACAAAACGACATGCTTTCAGACGGCACGGCTGGATGCTTCAGGGGACAGAATTCCGTTGATGTTCCTGCTCTCCAGTAAGATCCAGGATATATATAGGTATAACTGATGGTGACTGGGTGGTATCCTATGCTTGGAAAATGGCCAGGAAGAGGGGACAAACAGCATCATCGCCGTGAGGCCATGGTCCTCGTAGACGGGGCTTAGTGCGGGGCTTCTATTCTTTTCACCCTGCATCGTCTACAGGCCCTATCATGATCAATGAATGAATCCATCACAATTGCACAGATCTGACGGTCCACAGATTTGATGTAGGAGCTCCAACGGCCGTGGCGAGAGCCGCGGTATTTGGCACATGACCTATCATGGCCTTCTCCGGTGACCTGGACGACGAACCGATAGAAACCCTTCAGCGGACCGTCCCTTTCGACCGATCGGACCGCGGCGTTGGCGTCGGCGTGGGACCGGGTCTCTCCGGCGCCCGGGGGGCCGAAGCAAACGCCGGAGCGCTCGACGGTGGTGTTCACAGCGGTCCGAGCAGCAACTGCAAAGGTGGAAGGATCAGCGCCGTGGCTTGTTCCATCATCGGGTCCCTAAATGATCGTTTGCAAGCCTCAGCCTAAGTGACTGAAGAAAGGTAGTGCAGATAAAGGTTGTTGAACACTCACTTTGAAGTCAGCAGGTTCTTGAAAGATGGGATTGACTATCATTGGTCCATGCATGAAGACAATGCGTTCTTGTTTGATGTATGTTTTCGCGCTTAGCTGGCGATGTCCAGTCCAACAGCTACTGCCAAATCCGCCTTGGTCGGATGGAGTGCTCCGCAGATCTGGCTGAGACCAACATTTTTTGGTCAGATTGGCCGGAATGTTCCGCCAAGGCAAGTCAGTGGAAGTTCTGGACACTTGCTCGACCACTGGTTTTTTCTCATGTTTTTTCTCTCCAGCATTCTGTTGAACTGTTTCGAAACATTTTAATATATTTTAATAGCAACATGCGTTTCGAACGGATCAAATCATGTTCAAACAGCGATTTCTGCTCCAACTGGAGTGAGGAAGACAAGCTCAGTGCTTGAGCTTTTCCGTGGGCTTTCTCCTTTTCTGTCGCCCTTCTCATTTGTGCAGCCACCGTCGTGGGAACCCCCGATACCGCCACCGGGCTCGCGCGAGCTCGAAGCCGGTGGAGCTGGCACAAGACTTGGACGCGCAGGATCCAGAGATGGCGGTGGACGCTGGGCGGGGAGAACGATGGACTTCGGTGGGAGAACTCGGTCCGTCACTCGGTCCGTCGATGTTGATCCTACATGGGTTCGACACATTCATGCTGTTGATCCGCTTTTTGTTTAGGGTTTCGTATCTTATGTCGAGCAGAAAGTTCATATACAATCACATAGAATCACTCACATACATACATGAACATACATAGATGCATGCATACATACATACGTACGTACCTACATACATACATGCATCCATCCATACAGACAGACAGTCATGCATTACATTACATTACATTACACTACACTACACTACATTACATTACATTACATTACATTACATTACATACATACATCCATGCATACATGCATACATTGCATACATACATAGATACATACACACATACATACATCCATGCATACATACAGACAGACCTACATTACCTTACATTACATACATTACATATGTTACATACGTTACCTACGATACATGCATACATCACATAATATCGCATGCATTGCATTAATTACAGACAGACCTAGTTATCACACAGTTTTTGTCCAGACTCGTCTTAAGGACAATGCCAGGGCAATTTGTGCCGGCCACGAGATGAGGATACGAAGAAGTCTTCATATTTATGATATGATTGTACTGTTTTCAAAGCAGGTACAAGTTGACCAGTCTTGACACAAATTGAAAGCACTGGCCTTCCTTATGGAGTGACAACTCCCTGACTGCTTTGGGATGGCTTCCTCCTCATGGCTGCGTTTTTAGGTGGCAAATCAGTATGGCCACTCAGTCCCCTACTGTCTCAGGGCCCAGGGCGTACCTGGAGGACAGGTCTTGCAGAGAAAGATGAGTGCGTAGATGGGCCCACGCACCAGTGATGCAAAGCAGTAAATGGATGATATAAATGGCATAGTACTAGTAGCCTCGGAACTACGGGTTCGTCCTCTAAAGCATTGTTTTAACATATAACTGTTATTCACCAGTTGAATCCGGTTGAGATCATTTGGATCTAAGGTTTGCACCCTTCTTTTTAACTTTTTGGCTTGGGGACAGTTTGGTCAAGCAACATCCACCTGAGTTGCGGATCGAAACGACCCGAAAATCACCCTGAAATTATTTTCTCAAGCCTCAGGCCTACACTCCGAGTTTTTAACTTTCGACAACCACCGTTTGTAGGGGCAATTGTCTTTCAGCAACCCTAGGCCATCCTTTTCTGCCATGATTATTTCAGGGAGTGCAACTGTTCATAGCTGCTTCCCATTGCATGGACTCAGGAAGCTTCGTACTCCTCAGGGGCCTTTAGCTTGACAAGTAGGGCCTACAGCTTTGCTTAGGAGGTTTTTCTTGTTTTGTCTCTTATGTAACTTGTGTGGCGCCTTTTTTTTCCCCAAGGCAGATCTCTGAACGTTATTTGGAGTTGTGATCATTGGATTGGTTTTGTTATGTTTTGTTGGTTTGTTTCGGATCCCTGTTGAGCTGTTTGGTTGGTTTGGGCACCTCCAAACAACCATTATCATATACGGTAGAACAATACAAATCTGGCTGGCTGGCCGGCCGGCTTGTTTGACTTTCTTGGCTTGCTTTGCTTGCTCGCTCGCTCGCTTGCTGTTATGCTTGTGTCTTGCTCGTTGGTCAGTTGCGGTTGTTGTTCCTGCTATGCCTCCAAGATGCCCAATTAGTGACCGGAGTCGGAACAGACACATCATCATGTTTCTTCCATGTTTCCATGTATGTTCTCCCATTTTTCCGCAATTTGTTCGGTTCTTATTGGTATCTCGTTTTCGCTGCCTAAGGCACTAAAACGCCGAAACGGACCTCAAAAGGACCCAGATATGGACTATTATGGACTATTTAGGTGTGTGTATATATATATATATATTTTTTTTTTAAAGTGGGTGTGAGGTGTGCGGTGCGTGTTACTACTTGCTGCAAACATACGAATGTTGAGGGTTCTATTTTCTCAAAAGCTTCATTTGGGCTGCCTCTTCTCAAACAAAAGCCTTGGACCAAAACCGATCCTCAGGTACCTTATGGCCTCCCAAGCAGGTCATCACCGACATCGGCAAGCTCACACCCATCCAGGCGGAAGCGTCTGTAGGACGCTACACAGGTGCTGCACCTCCCTTGCCGGAATGGCCCTTCTATGAAAGCCAGATGAGCTTGGAAGAGCTGCAGGCGCATCGATCTTGGTCGAGACCACCGCGAAAAAGGGCGTAGGACTGGACAAGCCGGCTCGATGTCTGGTTTTTGTTCATTGATGAACACCTTGCGGGGCTAAGGACATGTTTTTCATGGACTGGACATCTTTTGGGTTTGGGTCCTGGAGTCCTGGGTGTGGTGGTTCAACGCCGTTGACCGCCGCCTGATGGATTCACTGATGGGTTCTCGGAGCGAGTCTGGTCGAGAGGTTCCCGGTTCTAAAGGACACAAGCTACCTGCCATTCAGGTGTCCGAAAAACATGCTTACTGGTTTTCTTTTGAGTGTTTCAACATGCCATTCAGATGTTTACAACATGTTTTCAAACACCTGCCATGAATGGTGAAGTCTTTTGAGCTGCCTTTTACGAAGCCATTCTCCGGTTTGACCCCACAATGTTTGCCGAACGTCCGCCAGCCCCAGGCCTTGGATGCCAAGGATGAAGAGATGCTGAAGCGGCTCACCTTCGTGGACTTTGCAGACCAGCTCACCCGGGCCTATGTCTTGGCCAGTCGATGGCAGAAATCCAACCTGGGCCGGTCCGCAGGCTTCGACCGAGACTTGGGAAGTGAGAGCAAGCACAGGCCTTGGCACGTTTCTTTGTTTTTTTGGTGTGACCCGTCCCCAAAGGCTAACATGCACTGTGACAACAGGCTCCGAGGTTCTTCAAGCTTCAACTTTGGTCATGTTCCCCCATCGACACCTACACGAGATAGAACACATAGACATCCCGCAAATCAATCACATCTCGAAAGTGGACACGGCATCGCGAAAGCTTGTGGATGCTTCCCAGGCTCATCCGGGCCCCCCCAAATGATGGTGGTTTTTTTTCCCGACTAGGCCGGGTGGGAACCCACGTTTGGAGCGTTGTCGAGCCGTCTGAGGCCTTGGCATTGGCATTTTGAGCGGCTTCATGTTCACCAACCCGGTCCTGATGCGGCAGCTCCAGGGCTTGAACGTCTTGCAAAACTATGTGGCAGAGAAGTGCCAGGAGACCAGGGCCCACACCGAAGACGGGACGACGGGAGAAACACCCAAGACGGGACGACGGGCTTCGCGGTTTCACGCGGTGGTTTCGCAAGCCATGGCGGCATGGCGGACGTTGAGGTCGATCGGGTTCTTGGGATACTGCGGAGACGACACGCCGCACATTCCACATTCCACACACTCAACCAGATGTGTGGCTGGCGCGCGAGGGCGGCAGTCTCATGTTTAGCACACAGCCGACATCGGCAGTGAAGCAGTGAGGAATCAGGTGAGAAGCGGCTTCGAGAAAAGCGGCTAGGTCACGGAAGCGGGCAAAACCCGCTCGCAAGAGATCCATCCTGAAAGCACCAGATGTGAATAAGTAGGAAACTGAGTCCGTTTGTCTCATGTAGACAAACTCTGAACAGCACCTCCGGCTAATTCAAGAGCACCCAGTTTCGGGTTGCCATGATGCACTTACACACAGGACTATACCATACTATACCTATATTTGTAGTGAAGACCTGACCGACTTTAATGCATGTGACAATTTTTTTAGTGGACTAGTTTTGGTGATCCTACACCTACACCACTGTCCACAACGGCTAAATCCACCGACAACATACTTCTTTATTTTAGAAGCAAATCGATGTCTCCCAGCTCCACACCACAACACCAGCCAACAGTCCCGCTTGGTCCTGTCATCACCAGCTCCACAAAGACCATGCACCCGTCCTGATCTTTCACCACCCGTCAGGACGATGCACCTGAAGACGAAGCACCGCGGAAGACGCGTCTTCCGGCGGCGTCGCCCGAGACCTTCGCCGCCTTCCTGCGCAGCGTGGAGGCCGGCGAGACCATCGCCGCGGAGTTCGCCGCGGTGGCGCCGGTGGAGCGGGAGACCTTCGTGGAGGGCGACGCGGTGTTGGAGGTGAAGGGGAAGTGCTTGGTTTGTGTTTGGGCGGTGATGCCCTTGGGCTATTAGTGATTAGGGATGGAAAGGAAGGATAACAGCAAATTGATGCCCTGAAAGAAGAACCAGGTGTAGGGAAATCGCTATGCTGTCAACAGTGGCGAAGAAATCAGCAAAATTGGCACCTCACCGATCGGCTATATATACATATAGAGCGAGAGAGAGAGAGAGAGAGAGACAGAGCGAGAGAGAGAGAAAGAGAAAGATAAAGAAAAAAACATGTGCAAAACTTGTGAATCTTAGAAGAACTTTGGAAAACACACACACTAGACTCGACGTGGATAGTTTCTGACACAGTCAACACTTTTGGATACGGCAAATCCTCCGTTCCCATGTGGCCTGTGGACCTCGAAACATCTATCCTCCTACTAGAAGATGTACTGTAAGTTTGGTTTGAATTAAAAGCTGTGTTTTATGACCGGAGGTTTTGGAGGTGTTGAGAAATTCATACCAAATGCGTGCGATATTATTCAAAGAGATGGCCCCCGAGTGAAGCTGTATTTTTGGAGGGTCCTCTCAGTTCTCCATGAAGGGATTAGACCAGCAGACCTGTGCAAAAGCCTTCTCTGACAATAAACTTCTGGTTTGAGACCATATATAGACCTCGCCAGCCCACCAAATTAGCCTGGAGATCCGCCTTTTCTCTATGGAACCAACGGTATGACGGTATGGGCATTTGTTGAAAAGGGAGACGGCCCCAGGCTCGAGAGGAAATGCAAAGTTACTGTGAAGCCAGTGGTCGGAGTAAGGTTTTCCTTATTCCAATGCCCATCTACAAGTAGCTCCCTCTGTTTGGGGTCACCAAACCCTACTGGGCGTCCATAGGGAACCCTGCCAATCCAAGGCCTAGTGAGCTCTCAAGGCAGTGCACTCGCGATGTGGACACAAGAACCAGAGAGCGGCCTAGCGGAGGCGCGGTGCGCGAACTCGCGCACCGCTTCGAGTCCTATGATTTCCACTTAATCCAGGATTGCAGTCTGACAAAGCTCAATCAGCGTTGAGTTTTGGAGCCACACTGCTTGGAAAGGAGTTCCCAAGCAAGCAAGCACTTCAAGCATAGACCGGGACTGTCACTCCAATGTGTGGCCACGGGCCGGGACTGGGTGCTAGACTGCTTCCAGATGAAATACAATTCTTCACTGTGACCCTTCTCCTGCCAACACGTGCAGCAAGTAAATCGCTTCTCCCAGCATTGCCGCGAGTCGAGGTCCACTTCTGCATCGGCCATGACTGCCTCAAAGAAGGTCCTGAGGTGGAAGACTTGCTCATGCGCCTGGTGGCGCGCAAGGCGCAGGCGCAGGGTGCCCAACGGCTCCGCGCCCGCGCGCGCTTCACCGAGAAGGGGAAGCTCTTGGTGCCCTGTGACCCGGCCGGGGAGGGGGAGGGATGGGACAGCAGTTGGCCACGCTGGAAGACAAAAGTATATGAGGCAATATGACGAGGCACGAGAATCTGGAGGATAGAGGTGCTGGTACAGAATTCTATCAGCTGCACCACCAACTGAGTTTCAAGATGGCTATGTCAATTTCCTCTATGAAATGAGGGGGATAGCCCTCATATAAAACGTCTAATACCCCGCTCACTGGGCGGGTCAGGCGAGTCATTTTATAGTGATTTGAGGTTTTTGTGAGGGTGGTTCACAAAGTCTTTCAGTTTTCAACATCTAAAGATTTAGGCAGTTACTGAGGGGCAGAATTTTGGAACGCAGCGATCAAAAACAGTTACAGTAGTGATGCAGCTATCAAAAATGATATTGAACCTCTCACTTTATAGGACCCTCAAATTTCTACTTGCACAATTTTATTCACATTGGGAGGTTGGCACAACCGTTTTATACCTATAGAATGAGCTCAAAGACCCCCCCCCTGTTATTCACACAGCCATGAATCAAGCATTCAAGCATGGCTTGGCATTTGGGAGTGGCATCACGTGAAAACATCTAAATGACTGGCAGGCCTGGCTGGCACTTGTTTTGATCAAGTGGGATTTCACGTGAACACCATGAGCAGATTGGAGCATATATAGCTGTGTACACTGTACACTCCAAGTTTGTTTGGGTACCAGGAAAGCTCAAAACAGGAAACATTATACTGCATGTTTGTCATTTAGAGTGATGTCAGCTATTGAACATGAACAGGGCTTCAAACATTGTACAATTCATTGTCCTGACGAATAAGTCAGAATATGACAATGAATATTCCGTAAAAACACATATACATCGAACATGATCGAACTAGTACTGTATGTATTCCAATCACAGCCAAACAGAAAGGACACCAGAAGATCCCCAAAGTGGATCATCTCAACCCTCTGGGCCGCTGGGGAGGGCTCTTCGTTGCCTTCGGTGCGCCGAGGCCCCAAGCTCCAGTTCCAGCTGGCGCCTGGCGAGCGCGAATTCGCCGAGGACGCCAGCGACGCGGAGGCCATGAGCAATCGAGACTTCACCAAGCCCAAGGACGAGAGACGACGGGGCGTGGAGGGGAAAAACCGGGCAGGTGAAGGCCCCTTCGGCGTTCGGAAGGGGGGGGGGGGAACTGGGATGGGATGGGGTGAAGGCGTGAAGGCGTGAGAATGGCCTGGTTTTGCAGACTTTACAGATGGTTTCAGATTGACTGCAGGCACACCGTCCGAACTGTGGGAGTGGTGCGACGCATCCCCGCAAGCCCAGAGCACCAGAAGTTCCAGCACCAGAAGGCCTGTGGAGGTCCAGGCCACTTGACTTGTATCATTTCTTAGAGGCATCAAATTTGTGGGACTGTGGGGTGGTTCTTCAGACTCAGGTCCCACCTGAAAAAGCAATGGCCTTTCGAGGGTTGGCGACTTCGATGGCGGCCTATTGCCGCACCTGGTCTTTTGTCGCACATGTGCACCACTCACGTGCAACGCCGTTGCCGTACCAGGTCGCAAAGCTTCGTTGATCATCCCTCCGGCTTTCTTGCCGCAGGATTACTATGCTATTCCGGAAGCCGTGGAAGGACTGCGGACCTGGCTCTTGGTGCTTTGCTTGGAGGATCGTCTTGAAGAAGCCAACGGCTGGTGCCAGGAGACGCAGACTTTCTCGGTTTTAGGGCGACCTTGGACCTGGCGGATCATTTGAGCAGCCAAAGCAAGGTAATGTAGACTCTTGATAAACAACCCCCCCATTTGAATTGGAATATGGGGGATTTAGTAATCAAGAGTCTACATTAAGTTGATCATGATGTCGGTTCACATGTTTACTGGTTGGTGTTGGTTCGTTTTGAGAAGAGGGGTGCCCAATGCCAGTTTTGTTTTTTTTCCTCCCCGGGGTGCCAGGATGCCAGGACCCGTGGACACGGGTTTTGTCGGCTTTGATGTTGATGAGATCACGGAATACTGGAATATCCTGGATTTGCCTACAGCCCAAGCATCATCCGGGAACATGATGGAACATGTGTAATCAATGATAATCTAATAAAACAAATATACATATATATATATATACATATATATATATATATACACATATAACGTGTGTAATTAATGATATATATATATATAATATACGTATAATATACACATGCACATGTTCCATCTACTCCGGGCTTCTTTGCTTGCCTTGGGTGAGCAGCTGTGTCACCCAGCAGCTGTGCCACCTCGGGTGGGTCTTTATCGCTTCAGGAGATGGGCGCCGCCACGTTGGATGAGGTGATTGAGAGTCGGGAGGACTTAGCCGAGTATTTGGAGCAGCAAGCACCGCTTACGGCCGGAGAGAAGCAAGCATTGTTGGAGAGAGATCATTAGACCTACTGAGTGTGGGTAGACCTGCAAGTTGTAGCTGATGGGCATGGGGGAAGTCCCCATGAACCCCCAAAAGTGGAGGAATCAACAGGCGACCCAAAGCTTTGCTTTTTGCTGGCGAGAACGCCTTGGGTTTGGACTCCGGTGCTGGCGCGTGGAACAAACCGCGGGCTCAGGGGGGCGGCTGTGGGCTTCGGAGTGTAGTTTGATGTGGGGTGGGTTGGGATATGCTCACTAACAACTAGGTCAACCAGGCGCCCCCGGCACGATATGAGGACTGAAATCTACATACTTATGGCATGGTTCGGCCCAAAAATGTTCTTGGCGAAGAAGGGGGGCCGACCATGAGCATCCCTAAGAGGTTCCTGTAACATCCTGTGCTAGATTTTGTCCATGGCCATCGCTTACATGAATCTTGTTTGGGAAATTTGGGATGAGGAATCTCGTTCATGTCTGCCTGGGACTCCTGGGCCTGGTGCAAACACCAGAAGACGATGTGAGATCCAATAATGTTGGATAAGCAAAGTGAGTGATGTGATCAAAACACATGTTGGGGGGACTCTCAAGCAGCAGTCATCAAGTCATCAACTCAGATGTCTTTGTTTAAGAAACGGCTCGAGCTCAAATCCCTCCGTGTGGTGAAAGGTTTTCATTGTCGATCATCCCAACAGGATGGGGAGAATCAATTTGCACGTATTTGTGTGGTAGCACTGTTCTTGTCGATGAAATTCTGAAGAATACACGATGTTTTGATGTGTTCCCTTGGCGGGGGAATCACCAGGCGCAGATGCCGATGAGTTGAATGTGTGTGACCAGCCGGCCCTTTGGGTTTAGTTGGGTCATGACCTTTCAAGAGCCAGGTTTCAGGTTGATGAGTGAGGCTCCAGTTCCGACTCACTCTTGTTGTGATTTTGCCGTGAAGATGGCTTCACCTAGCTTGTTTGAAAACACACTTCTCAGGCCAACTGACCTTCAGTGGTGACAGACACCGAACGGCAAATGATTGGGAATGTATGTGGCACTTACACCTAGAAGACCTTAAAGAAACATGATGAAGACTTCACCATGCCATAAGTCTGTTCCCAGGACAACCAGTAGCAAGAGGCCAGGACATCTCAGGATGCAGGACAGTCCTCATATCAGGAGTTTCCAGGACGTGAGGCCTTGAGTCATGCTGGGTGCTAGGTCGGGTGTGGAGGGGCGTGAAGTCATGGCTTCACTGGTTCCCCGGGTCCTACGAAGGCAGAAAGGGATGTCCTGAAGTTGCAGACCAGCAGACGGCCACCCCTTGATTAAAGCCATGTCCTTGACGACCCTGAGGGATGTTTTGTGAGGTGATCGAATTCTTTTCTTTCGCTATTTCCTTCAGTGAGCAAACCTGCAATCAGACCTCCGATCAAAGACGAGACAGCTGTGTCGAGACGGCCCTCCGTTTTGAGATCCTGCCAGACCTTTGGCATTTGGCACCGGAACGCCTTCTGTACGAGTCACGCGGAAGACGTCCCAGACAGCTCCTCACAGCGGACCGACAGCCCTGTAGCTGGCGACCCTCCAAATCCCCAGGCCGAGAGCTGTCAGGAGTTGCTCAGCGCTGGCTTGGGGCCTGAGGGGTGTGAGGGACCTTCTTCGCCCCCCCCTTGCGATCCACCAAGGAGGGTGCGCCATTGTCTTGGCTTTGGTGTATTTGTGGTTGTGATTAGGTGTCTTTTTCTCCCTGTACTGGGTGAACCCTTGAATTTGTTCCAGCCCACTGGACAGCAAATCCAAGCAATTTGGTCTTGCAGGTCGTTACAGTACAGGTTGTTACATGTTCTTACCAGTCGTGGTGTGTGCGAAGGAGTACAGTATTTCTGCTTTCCGCCGAAATTCTCACATCCAGATCTTGTTGGTGAAATGTCCAGAACCGACACATCCTTCAGGAATATGTCACACAGTTCCATACTGCCACGCATACTTCATGGCTGCCGTCATGTTCCACTTCGATGGTGGTTTCGACTGCATATGTTATCTTATAACTGCAAGGCTGGCGGCTTAAAGTCACAGATAGCGAGAATGTCAAAGAATGTTATAACTATAGTTGTATGTATGTTTGTGCATATGTATGCAATTGTATTGTATTGATTGGGGATGCCCCATTGCTTGCAACAGTCTGTCAACAATTATCACTATTCTATAGGAAGGCCTTTACTAACCATTATCATCCACTGCTACGGGGAATGGGATGTACCCAATGTATTGAATTGTGCTGTCTTGTGTATATATGTATATACACTTACATATGCACCATCAAAAAGGGCAATTCAAGAGTCTACTACAATGTGTGACTTGTCCAAGTATTGTTTGCATGTATTTGCATTGGCTAATATTGACTATATCACTTTCCAGTGCGCAAGCTGTCTGGAGGATCTTTAAGTAGAATCTTGGAAGTTGATGGCCTGATGGAAGCGCCACAAGATGCGCCACAAGTTTCAATCCACCAAGCTGGGGGGTCGAAGCAGGACATTCTCAACCACATAGGGATGACTATCCTGACACGGCAGGACACGAGCACGAGCGATAGGGGATGCGAAACCCTCATGTGGTAAATTGTATGTGAGGCATACAGCATACCCTGAAACAATCATGGAAGTGGAACACTCGCCGGTGGAAAGAAAATGTTCCTCTACAAGCAGGGCTTTCTCCACTTCCATGGTTGTTTCGGGGAGGTATAGAAGATCTGCTCATGGAATCTGATTGGCCTCCGTCAGTTGCCAAGCTGAAGGTTGTGAACCTCATCAGGATCCATGAGGAGGATCCATGAGGCACACATCACCAGTACACTCGGAATCAGGGTGACCTGGATGACCCCGAAGACTCGGATGATGACATGAACTCGGTCGTGTTGCTCTACACCCACACGGGGCCACGTACCGACGGTACGGTCGTGTTGCTCGGGCCGCGTTTCGTGGCAGCGGACGGAGGTTCGACGACCCACGCTGCGAGTGCTGTAAAGACGGCAACGGAGTGACCCCGGTCGTCGTTTTCAAGACCCGCCGGGTGCCAAACAGCCAGACCCCCAGACAAAGCATCCCCCAAGGTGGGCAAGTTATGGCACACATAGAGGGATGGAGGGATGCAGGGATCTGGTCCCTTCGTGGGCTACACTCGATTGCCTCGGCTCGCCTCTTTGCTCCAAATGCCCGCGGGCACCGGAGGTTGAAACAGCCCTGTCGATCGCCCACAGACCAGGGTCCGAAAGTCCGAAGGTTCAGATTCGTGGACGAGTCGTGGCCCACTGCACCTCGCTCAAGAGATGACACATGTTGACTCATGATATTTATGCCTAGAGACGTGGCATGGTACACAAGTTCTTCCGCCTCATCAGCCTCAATAAATTGCTTCCGCTTGAAGACTTTCAGCCGTTTCAAACAGAGACTTGCGTTTCAGCGGGTTGCCTATTTCAGGCCTGTGAGATAGATGTGTTCTCCAGGAAGCTCGCCGAAAATGCGCAGGAAGGCCTTCAAGCTAATTATGTTTAAACCCTCCAAAAAAGATCAAAAAAGCACTAAAAAAATACGCCGTTTGGTTGGGAATTTACGCCATTTGGTTGTGAAATTTATGCCGTTTCAAACATTTTTTGAAACATCGTCCACAGAGGGTTTCCAACCTGGAGTTTGATAGATGTGTTCTCTTAGCTTGAAGCCCTAACTTCTCAACCGCACAATCTTCATCAACACCATAAACCTCCAAAAACTCCCGCCTCGCGCCAGATTTATGCCGTTTCAAGCAAGACTAGTTGAAAAGTAAGTTTTAGGAGGTGACCTAAGTAATGTGCACCCCTCCGGTTTCCATAGGCATATATATATATATTGTTTTGATTCTTGATTCAATTCCAAGCCCCCATATGAAAAGGTTTTGGAATCCAAATGGAGTGGGTTTGATCAATTATTCGTCTCCATTACTGTAGGTGCTTTTTCGTTCAGTTTCTACTTGGTCCACCCCGCGGGAGTTGTTCGGAGGTACCTTTGTCAAGCCTCTACAAGACAGAGATCCACAAGAACTGCTTCGGCGGGGGAGGCGCCCGGCACGGCGGCGGCTGAGGAGCATTTGGGTTTCAACGCCGGCACGGGTGGTGCCGGAGTTCGGGGTGCTAAAGGTCATGACTGCCCAGTATGCCCCAGTGGGGCGCCCTTCCTATAACCTGTAGCAGTCGGCAAACCAGAACATCACTAGCACGAACAAGACCTGCAACATCCTGCAACCTAAAAATAGTCCTCAACGATTATTGGTAATTAATTGGATAGACCCAATGAATGGCTTTTGGGGGCCCAAACCATCAGCACCAGCATTTGCTATAAGGCCCAAACTATGGTCATCTCATGACGGATCCCTGCCGTCCGACACCCGAAAGCCGCTCAGCGGCTTAATCGAGGTGGCCCTGGTTTGGGAATGAAACCCTGCAGCCGCCTGACTGGACCTGATTTGCACTGGACCTGATTGGTTCCGAAAACGCAGGATCGGCTCCAGTTCGTGGACCTGCTGGGACTAGGGTGCTGCACCGACCCCGGGGTCGACCCTGTAGCCTGCCTCTTGGGAGGTACCGAAGAGATCGGCTGGAGGTTGGTCGACGTCCTGGCCGGGGCAGCTCAGTGGATCAGGGGTCCGTGCGGAACAGTCACGGTGTATCATGGCCTACGGAGGAGTGGATCACCTGCAACACATCACCGGTAAACCGGGGGAGCGGGGAGACACAGTCACTCAAATCCAAGCGGTGGAAAAAGGCCAACCTTTCTTCTCCAGGCAAACTGAGAGGTTCAGATATTTGTTGTTGTTGTTGTTGTTGTTGTTGTTGCATGTTTGGAGTGGACACCCTATTTCCTTCAAAACTCACCAGCAGTGAAATAACACCCATGCTGCTACCTGGCTTCGTGCGTGTTTTTGGCGGCAGGCACAAACCAGCGATGGCACGCTGACCGTGGAGCCCATGGTGGGAGTCCCGCGAGAAGTCCAGCCGGAGAGTCCAGGGAGCCCATTGATGGTGGTACCGCTGCACAACCTATTTCACAATCACCGTCCTTCCAAATCACCGACGGAGAGGTCGGACCGACTTGCATGAATGGTCCCTAGTCAATTTCACCAATCATGGTTCATGGCAAGAACTGGGATGGAGCCGCTCAGTGGG